CCTTACTTGCCATAATGTGTACTTAAATTGCATTATTAATAATTTGTTGGCCCGGTTCAGTGGCTCAACCTGTAATCCCAGCGCTTTAGGAGGCTGAGGCGAGTAGATTACCCTCCCGGGCAACTTGGCAAGACTTCGTCTCTACAATAAATAAAAAATTAGCCTAGCATGGTAGTGCACACCTGTAATTCCGGCTACTTGGAAGGCTGAGACAGAAGGATCGCCGGAGCCCAGCAGATCCAGGCTGCGGTGGCTGGGGGTGTGCCACTTCACTCCAGTCTGGGCAACGGAGTGAGACTCCAACTCAAATTTTAAAAAATTATTTGTTAAATTTGTTGAGTAAAGGTTGATATGTCTGTATGTGTGTGTGTATGTAATATATATATCCCAGTATTTCTTTTTTAGAGACAGGGTCTTGCTCTGTTCCTTAGGCTTCAGTTCAGTGGTGCAAAAATTGTAGCCTTGTAGCCTTGAACTCACGGGCTCAAGCAATCCTCCCACCTTGGCCTCCCAAAGTGCTGGGATTACAGCATGAGCTACCATGCTCGACCCCTACACAGTATTTCTAATATTAGCTTTATTGAGATATAATTCACACACCATAAAATTCACCCCTTAAAAGTGTTCTTATGTATTTTTATAAATGGATGGAAGTGAGCCCATTTTGTTCCTTCCACCCAAACCTCTGTGTTAAACTTTGTAACTTGACCTTAACCCTCAAGTGACTGGTTCACTGGACTACACAAGACAAAAAACTTCCACTGACATGTTAGAATGAAATGTATTCACTTAATTTTCTAGGCCCCTTTTTTTTTTAACTGTGTTACAACTGAAGAATTCCTTCCTGCATATTTTAAGTATGAAGTATGAAGATGCAGAGGAAGAATTAATAAACTCTCTATTGTTAATAACTTCTCTTATGACCAAGAAAACCCAGGAATCCAAAAGCATAAGCCCAGAGTCCTTAATCTAACAGAACCTTCCCCCGACCCTACCCGCCCTGTCTCCCATTGTAAATTCCCCTCTCAAGGATTTTTAATACTTAACTCAAAATACCAGGCACGGAAAAACTTTATTACTGCTGGTGCTTTCCTATTGGCAAATTCAACCTTAGTCTTCCCTTAATGCTGGCTCTTTCTTTGCATAATAGGAATAATCCTGTTTGTTCATTATGAATTTAATTCGTTGAGGGGAAATGCTGCATTGAAGATAGTGAATGATGATAAAGCCGTTGATTGGCAGCCTCTGATGGCATTAGCCTCCGATTATCCTTTGCCTCTTGCAATGGCAATCGCCTGGTCTTCGCTGTTGACATCTGGAGGCAGCCTGCTGGCAGCGCCGGCCCCAAATATTTAAGCAGGTGGATTTGTGATGTTTTCTTCTACCGGCTCAGGAATCTGACGGCAGAAAAGCCAAAGAATTAGGATTTGGGCATCTTTTAAGGACTGCCTCCTCCCCCAGAAACGAAGGAATTCAGGGTACTAGTTGGACTTTTATAACAGAAAACATGAACAGGCTTGCCAAGTATCTTGAACAGTAAATAATATGTTCTTGTTAAGTGCTTTGTCTTGTTAAGTATTAAGGGCCAGCACTCTAAAATCCTACTGCCTCTAGGTGGCACTTCTGTCAAGTGTGGACTGGCCTTGCCTTTGGGTACCCTGGATGCTGTCTACCTGCTTCTCTTGGTTATTCTACATCCATGTGCTTTTCCTGAAGAGAGTGTGGCCTCTGGGGTGTGACTGGGTGTGGAGGGACTGGTCCTAGGGAGTCTGTCCTGGCACACGTGCTGGTGCTGTGGGTAGTGTTGACTTATCAAGAGCAACAGGATACCCTCTGAAGACTGGAGCCTTGCAGCTGCCCCTTCCTATGTGTCTTTGCCTTAGGCTGTCATGCGAAGTCACTGCTGTCTGGCTTTTCTGCCTCAGTTCTGCTGGGGTCTGGGGAAGGGACTGTATACAGAGTGTCATTCTTTTTCTTTCTTTCTTCTTTTTTTTTTTTAAAGTCAGGGTCTCACTCTGTCATCCAGGCTGGAGTGCAGTGGCATGATCATGGCTCACTGCTGCCTCAATCTCCTAGGGTCAAGGGATCCTTCCCACCTCAGCCTCCCAAGTAGCTGGGACTAGTCTTGTGCCACCACACCTGGCTTAATTTTTTAATTTTTTTTGTAGTGACAAGGTCTCACTATGTTGCTCGGGCTGGTCTTGAACTCCTAAGCTCAAGCGATCCTCCCACCTTGGCCTTCCAAAGTGCTGGAATTACAGGTGTGTCATTCTTATGAGAGAATTGATTTGTATATATTGGTTAAATCATTGGTTACAATCATGGGGTAAAATATTTTGCTGTCAAAAAATTATGTTTTATTTATTATTATCATTAATTTTTTTGAGTCAGGGTCTCACTCTGTCTCCCAGGCTGGAGTACAATGGCTTGATCACAACTGTCATGACTCATGGCAGTCTCAACCTCTTGGACTCAGCCTTTCAAGAAGCTGGGGTTACAGGCATGTATCCCCATGCCTGGCTAATTTTTTGATTTATGTAGAGATGATGTTTTGCTATATTTCCAAGGCTGGTCTGAAACTCCTGGGCTCAAGTAACCCACCTGCCTCGGTCTCCCAAAGTGTTGGGATTATAGGCATCAGCCATCTTGCCCACTCCACCACCTAAAAATTATGTTTTATGATATTAACTCATTAGTTTATCAAATATTTATTGAGCACCTATTCCATGTTATACACCTGCTATATTCCATGTTATACACCTGAAGCTAATGTGTCAAATAAGAGAGACATGTTCCCTGCTCAAGTGACGCCTTTAGGCTGATGAAGGGAGAGAAAACAATGAACAAGTGAATTCATAAGATAACCTCTGAATGTGATTAATATGATATCATGCTAAAGGGGGAGAGAAGAAAAACAGAATACTGTGTGATTTCAACTACGCAAAAAGAATACACATACATGAAAAATAGCCCAGGAGAAAATATGCTGAAGGAGTTATAGGTGATCCTTATTTTCTTCTTTATACATTTTAGTATTTAATAACTTTTCTTCTTTTATAACTAAGGAAAAAATAACTTTAAAAAAGATTCACAGTTCGAATTTGTGCCACATACTCGATGTCATGGATATAGAGTATCTGTATGTCTTCTGAAGGCAGAGAAACCACAGTGACTCCCTTGGTAGAGGAGATGAGAAGAACATTTACCTACAAGAAAAAGAAGATAAATGTATCTAAAATTTCCATTGTCTAAACTTTAACCTTAGGTCAGGTTTCAAAATCACACCTATTGGGAAAGAGAGGGTCTCCTCTTGGGGCATGGGAAGGGCCCCGTGGGCCCCTCACCCTCTCCCTGCTGCTTGTGTGTTGGAGCTCCTAACTCTCAGCCCTGCAGGTTGTTCCAGTGAAATCTAGCAGATGGGTTGGAGGAGGTTTGCGGCTGGGATGCGGTTGTTTCTTGTTGGGCTAATCCAGTTATAGATAACTGAGTTATAGTAAGCACTGAGAGAGGCTGGGCCACAGGGAGTCCCAGCATGCACGGTGTTTCCTTCGGCAGGTCACAGTGGACTCTGGTCCCCTCCTCTGTACCAGAAAATGGCCTTCTAAACAGGGTTGCTCTGAGTGCTGGGGATTCTCTAGTAAGAGAAAAAGCCTGGACCTGTGGCCGGCAACTGAGCCAGCAAAACATGGCACTTACCTGTGTGGATGCTCCTCACCTTACAAAGGGATCACATCCAGATAAACTAAGCATAAGTTGAAAATATGGTAAGTTGACTTATTTTGGTGATATTTTCAAGTTATGCTGGGTTTATCTGGACGTGGCCCCATTGTAAGTGGAGGAACATTCTAAATGCATGTAAATTGAGGAGCATTCTGAATGCATGTTGCCTTCATACCATCATGAAGTCAGAAATGTATTTGGAACCATCGTAACTCAGAGACCATCTGTAATTTGTATGTATGTGTGTGTGTGTGTTTGAATTAGAGTCTCACCCTGTCACCCAGATTGGAGTACAGTGGTACAATCACAACTCACCACAGCCTCAACCACCTGGGCTCAGGTGATCCTCCTGCCTCAGCCTCCCAAGTAGCTGGAACTATAGGCACACACCACCACGCACAACTAATTTTTTGAATTTTTTGCAGAGACACTACACTGTGTTGCCAGGATGGCATAATGTATTTTATAACATTAAGAATTCATCTGGAAACACAGACCAGGTTTCCCACTTTCTTAACACCTGAGAACACCTTGCCACGTGGGCTGTCATTCTCATATGGAGGCACTCAGTGAAGTGAGGTCTCTGCTGCCCCCATCTCAGCTGGGTGCTTCCCCGTCAACCCAGTTCTCTCCCTTCAGCCCTTGCCTGTCTCCTTTGTACCCCTTGGAGCCTGGCATCTGTCCATGCTTGTGGCATGACCTTCCTACACCAGCCTGTAGACATTTGGGCTCATACCAACACTGTCACCCCCGGAACTTCCCTATCTACCCTGGGCTACCTACTGAGGAGAGAGCCCACGACTGAGTCTTCTCATGATCTAGGGTAAAGGATTCAAATAGCAAGACTTATGGGTGCCACCCAGTTACCACATTTGGAGGCTGTGGGACAAGGCAGGACCTGGCATCAGATCTACCCACTTGATATCCCTAGAAGGGAAGGTGGCTGTTGCCAGGACCGAGGAAAGCTGCAGCGAGACTGGGGGCAGGGGACAGTTTCCAAGACAGTGGAGAGTCCACCTTGGGCTGACCCCTATCCCAGCAGGGACAGGAAGTGCAGAGAGCACCACAGAACAGAAATAGAGGAGCATCAGCTTGCAGGAATGAGATGCAACATGTGGCCTGGACAGTAGGGGCGCACCTAGTCAGCAAGTAACCAGGAAGTGAAGGCGGCAGCCAGAGCCAGCTGTGGGGAGGCAGCCAGGCAGCACCTGCCACTTATTTCCTTGAGTGACAGAGGCCTTTGCACAGGCAGGTGACTCTGTGGGCTTGGTGCCTTCCAGGGAAGCTGAAAGAATGGACCCTCATTCTGTATGGCACGGCGGAGCACCCTTACCACACCTTCAGTTCCCATCAGTCCCGCTCACGGATGCTGGAGCTCTCGGCCCCAGAGCCGGAGCCGCCCAAGGCTGCTCTGTCACCCTCACAGGTCGAGGTTCCTGAGGACGAAGAAGATTACACAGGTAAGGAGCCCAAAGCAGGAGCAGACTCCAGATTCCTCAAGCTCTGAGTTTCCACAGCAGTGCTTAAAACGCGGGGCTGCTCCTGGCAGAAGGCGGGGTTGTGGTTGTGTGTCTTTCTTGCCTAGAAGTTGTAATAATGATGGTAATTTGCACTCACACAGCTCCTTCCACCCAAGGCTCTCCTAATATTTTACAGACCAGTAAGTATGCTTCAAACCAGTAAGTATGCTCCAACCTTCGCAGGCTGGGAAAGGAAGGTCCTATATGCCCAACCAGAACTGGGGCTGGCCCCCTGGTGAATTAGCTGCCTACAGAAGCACCCCTTTTCCTCCAAGGCCCCATCTCAAGGCCCAGCCTCCTGACTCTCCAAGTCCATCCACTTCCAGTCCCTGTGGCCAGGATGTGGGAAGGACAAGGTTCCTCACAAGGGCCCAGGAAGGTTGGGCTTGGTGAGCATTGCCAGGAGAGGAGTTAAGGCAGAGATCCTAACCAGCCTGGTGGCTGGAATTAAAGACCGAGGAGCGAGATGACATCAGTAGATACTGATCCTGCACAACGATGTCTTAAGAATCCCACAGCATGTAAGGAGGCCTTGTACAAACCCTTTTTCTGCAACATTCCCTTTGCCAAGGTGGCCCCTGGCTCTTGGCTACCGGCTGAGTCCACAAGGCAGCTGAGAGCCACAACAGTCCAGAGGGGACTTCAGACACCTCCAGCCACTGAGCTGGGCATGACTTTTTTTGGCACTTTAGGTCAAAAACTGTTTCTCTCCCTCTGACCCATCCTACAGCGATTTGTGCAAAAAGGTATGTTTCTGGTTGGGCATATGTTCCTTTGCTAAATACTATAGGGTGCTACTTGATAAATAAGAAATTGATGCTTTGAGTTATCTAATATCTTCTGGGGAAAAATAACAAAATGGAGAACTCCACCAATACATACCAAACATAAATTATGGTCGATTCCATTTTAAATTTCTTCTGCCATTCCTTTAAAACAGCATTGAATTATGTATGGACTAATCTGCTATGTTTCCCTGTGATTTATAAACTGTGGCAAGATTCAGTAATTATTAATAAAGGGCTGATTTTTTTCCTTAAAATCTGCTCTGACTTCAGCCCTGCACACTGTAGCCTCATTGTAACACTGTAACACTGTTTTGCAGCCCAAATCACCCATCTTTACTGAGCACAACCTAGATGGATAGAGGGGGTCTCCACGGGAACAGGATGCATTCCTGGCTATCATAGAGGCTTCCTGAAGTCTCAGGGACCAGGTGGGACAAGCAGTCCAGGAGCAGCAGAGAGATACCAGGACCGTGGCCAGAAGCAGAGGGGCCATGGTGTGGAAGGCAAGGAGGAGCAGGGAGCAGCCACATTAGACTGCACGGAAAAGTCAAGGGGAAGGTGGAATGCAGCACCCAGAATGCAGAGAGCTGGCATGGACATGGTACACTGGGCCATGGTCCAGGCTAGTGGAGGCTCCACCCAGACCCTGTAGACAAGAGAGCAGTTACCAGGAAATAGAGGAGGTGAGCAAGGGGCATAGCTGGAGTCCAGGGAACATTCTTAGACAGCAAGTCTCCCAGGATAGCCACAGGCAGGATTGGCCACTTAGAGGAAGGCTGGAGGCCAGAGCACCCAGCAGGGAGGAAGGGCAGCAGCTGCAGTGAGCAGAAGTGCAAGGAAGATGTCAGTGCTGAGGTACCGAAGGTGGACAGAGTTGTAGGGACAGCCAGCTTGCTGGGTCAGAGCCGTCTGGTGGCAGAAGTCCAGACAGAGGCCACCCTGGGGACTCACCAGGGTGCTGAATTGAGGAGTGGACCCCAGGCTGGCCCCATGCTAGAGACTTGGATTCAGCAGGCCTGGGGTGCCTGGGAGTCTGCCCCGGTGGCAAGCATACTAGGTGACGCAGGTGGCGTGGGCTCAGGGAGCAGGTACAGGCTGAAACCAGCAAGGATGAGGGCAGGAGGCAGGGAGGGGTTCAAGTTGCTACTGGAGAGTGGTCAGGAAGCTGGGACAGAACTGTCATGGGAAGAGGGAAGCCTGGGCCTCAGGGAAGTAGCAGTTGGTGAACAAAGGGAGTGGGGTGGGCTGGAGATGGCTCAGGACAGTGTGTCATCAGGGCAGGACTGTAAAGGGAGCTGAGAGCCCATGCGGCATTGTCTGGAAGGAGGGGTTGCAGAACAGCTCAGCAGGTACAGGGGAGTGGTCACAGGACTGTGTGGGGTTAGATTCAGCATGTCCGCACTCATCCGACAGACGAGCACAGAAGGGCAGAGCATTGAGAAACTTGCTCCGATCACACAGCAGTCAGGGAAGAGACCAGACTTGGCGTGAGCATGGTCTGTTATTCTCATTGGCACCTCTTATCTTGACTCTTGCATCCTTCTCCACGCCTGGTAGTGTTCCAGTGAGGTTCCAGCGCACTTTTCTTGGATGGGGTGAACAGCAATAAAAGTGCTGCTAAGTCCTCTCGTTCCTTCAGCAGCAATGACAAAGCCAGTCAAGAACGCCCACGTTGCTTTTTAGCATTTATCTGTTTGATAGTGTTGCGGGGGTTTTTTGTTTGTTTTTTTATCCTGGATTTGCTCTACAAAGGATTGAAGGTGAAGTTTTTAAATAAGCCTATGTTGGTGTAACCCCACGTAGAGACAGATCAGCTGTTAGCCAGTCCACCCAGCACATGAATCGAGCTCTGCTTGTATTGAGAACCTTCCACTGGGAGTTCTGGGAAGTGACACAGGAAGGCAATGGCCTTGGAGGAACTTTCATGCTAATTCAGGAAAGAGGAAAAGAAGACATGAGTACAGAGTGCAACACAAATAACAGAGTGCTCACCCAGAGAATGAGTTACAGCTGTACCAGAACATTCTTAGGCGTGATGGAGTGATTGGGAAAGGACAGCCAGACAAGTGGATTTAATTCAAGAATGCTTCATGGGAGAGATGAATCTTGAGATTTGATTTTTAAACACAATTCTAGAAGGGAGCCATGCTAGGGAGATTTGTTTACAGATATTTATCTAGGCAGCCATCCTCAGCCTTTGGATGGGCATTGTCTTAACCTGACCTGTGGGTGACCTTGACACCATGTGGAGGTTCTGCAGCCCTTGCTGATGGGTGGCCCCCAGTCTTGCATGGGGCTCCCAGAGAGGGGGGAGGCCTAGTGAGGGGGGTGGGATATGACATCCATTCACCGTGGACCAAGGGCTGGAAGCACCACTCCAGGCCCCTCCCCAATACTGACCTCTCCTGTGACATTCTAGAACATTCTGTCTAGATGATGAGGACATCTGCACTTTCCCTGCTTCCATCTACTATCCTTTCATTTGTACACTCACCCTTCAGCCAGTCAGCAAGTACTGAGCACCTGTTCTGGGCCTCACACCATTCTGGGTACCAGGAATAGAACCGTGGACATGCTAGACCAAAGCCCGTCCTCCTGGAGCTCCCGTCGTCTGTGCCTGGAGAGAGTGAGGAGACCAGCTTGTCACTTCCCTGGCCCACCCCATCCTCAAGATTGAGGAAGCTGTTCACTTTATCAAGCAGGAGAGACCCGCTGCCTCCCTCATCCTCAGGGAGAAAGCACAACAGGAGAAGGCAGGGGACGTCCTTCAGTCATCGTGACAGCCACCACTGGGCTGGCCTGAGATGGAGCGTGGGGCTCAGTTGGTAGTTAAGAACAATGGCGTAGGGACGTGAGAATTCCTGAGACTACTCCCATAGAAGGCCCAGGATGAGGTGGGCAACAAATCTAACCATGTGAGAACCGACCCCAAAACAGTCAAACAGCCAATCTGGAGCCCAGGAGGTGTTGCCTCCGTGATGAGTATTGGGAACAGTCGGTGGTACCTAGACCCCAGGATGCCAGTACCACCCAGAGATGTGTCTTGAGTATTCTCCAGGATAAACCCCATCCTGAAAGGGGTTCACGGTGGGAATGGAGGCAGGCGAGTCCCCACGATGAAAACGTGGGAACTCTAAACAACGAGAACCTTCGGAACAGAAGCCACGCCAACTGGCTCTAACATGGGAAGGTCTGGGGACTCTAAGGACGAATGAAGAGGGCTTTGTGCGCCTCAGCAAAGCCCCATTGTGGGAGCAGAGAATGAGGATTGTTGTCTTTCCCTGAGTCCCCACTGAATGCAGGTAGCCTGCAGAATCAACTCTTCTTCACTTCTGAACTTACTCCCCACACCCTCTGACAGCTCACACCTTGGAGAAGATTTTGTTTTTCTTCCCCAAACTCAAAAGCTTTCCTATACTCCTCTTAGTCTCTCCGTGTGTCTCCTAGGAACAATCTGGGAGGTTTTCTTGGGTCATTTCCCCAGTGTAGGAGGATAGGTGGGAGAATAGGTGGGGAGGCTTTCCCCAGCACTGGCTTTGGGTGTGTTGTGTCACTTCTACAGACCAGGATGGAGCAGACACCTACAGACAAGCACTACCCCAGTCTGAGAGCTCGACTCTGGGGGGTACCCCGGAAGAGCCTAGGAGGGTGAGGTTTGCAGAGCCCACTGTTCTCTGTCACTTTTTCAACAACACACAGGCCCCTAGAGTTAGAATTTGAGACCCCTGGCGACTTGAGGGATGACATTGGTAGCCCCCGCTGAGGACTAGCATGAGGAAAGCTGAAAGGGGTCCAGCCCTCGACACAAAAAGTAGCAGCAGTCCCTGGCCAGGAGTGAGGCAGCCCCCACTAGTCCAGTGTGATACTGTCAGGCTCTGTCCCTGCCCCACTCCAGACCTGCCAGCAACAGCCACATGGAACTCCATCCTCGTCTTTCTTCCCACCATGACATGTGGGGAGTTCTCACTCCATCCTGAGCATGTGGAACTCCATGCTCATCCTCTTTCCCACCATGACACGTGGGGAGTTCTCGCTCCCTGCTTTTCTGCCTAGTTCATGTTGGCTTGTCTGCTTGGTAGCAACTTCCCCAACACCATCCACTCCCCCATTGTGTTGCTCTGTCCTTCACCGTGGAAATCAGGAGTGCTGGCGGGTCCCAGCATGATGACCCTGGCTCAAGTGAATAAACCCAGCAGTAGTTGCGGTCTTTCCCTCCCTCATCCCTTAGGTGCTCATCGTTCCCATTACCTCACTTATCTGGGTGCTGTACCCACTGCAGGCATTTCTCTCATTCTGTCTAGAATATTCAGATTCTGACACTAGAGCCCAGGGAGGCTCAGCCCTGGCAGTGGTCAGATTCCCACAGGGATAGCTGCTCTAGCTTTGCCATCTGGCCACCGGGGCCCAGCGGGGCCCATCACTCTTTAGGAACTTTGCCCAATCCTGCAAGGCAGTGACATCCTGACACAGGGACCCGTGGGACTGCATTTGATCAAGAAGGCATCTCTCTGGATGAAAGGCAATGCTTGTCTCTTTAAGGTGTATGCCATCCGGAGTGTGGTGACAAAGGCTGTGATGGCCCCAATGCAGACCAGTGCTTGAACTGCGTCCACTTCAGCCTGGGGAACGTCAAGACCAGCAGGTAATGCATGGCCTGGAGACCTGTGGTGCCCCGCTCAGGTGGCTGTGTCCTTAGCCCCTCCGCAACCTGATGTCCTAATTAGGAATTAATGTAACACCCCAAAAAAAGACACTACGCTGAGGCTAACTGCTTTGAACTTGAGTTTTTAGTCACTTTGCGCTCTAATCACACAAGTACTATATATTCATTATGGAGAAACTAGAAGCTATGACATTTTGGTGTCCATGTTCATAATCCTTTTTCTATCAGTATTGTTTCTTTGTTTTGCTTTGTTTTGTTTTTGAGTTGGAGTCTCACTCTGTCGCCCAAACGAGTGCAGGGGCCACTCCCAGCCACCGCAGCCTCGACCTGCTGTGCTCCAGTGATCCTTCCGCCTCACCCTTCCAAGTAGCCAGAATTACAGGCACGCACTACCACACTTGGCTAATTTTTTGATTTATTGTAGAGATGAGGTCTCTCCAAGTTGCCCAGGTGGGTCTCAAACCCACGGGCTCAGGCAGTCCACTCACCTTGGCCTCCCAAAGCGCGGGATTACAGGCTGAGCCACCGAGCCCGGCCTCGGTGTTGTTAAACAGCATGCAGTGCTGCCCCGTGGAGGCCAGAGACAAATGTGATTCAAGGCCCAACACTCCCTGGCTGGCTGGGAGGATGTAGATCTCAACAGACTGAAGCCCCTCGTTGGTCGTTTTCTCTGTGTCTCTGGACTATAGCTGGGTGCGGGGTCTTCACAGACGCTTACCTGGCAGTTCCTCAGAAGGCCTGTGAGACTGAGTTTGCCCCAAGTGAGGGCATTAGGAGTCCGATCTGGGGGTCCAGCATGTGGCCAATAGCCTGGGCTCCGGCTGGCCCTTCTGTGCTGAGTATTCCCTGTGTGCCTCTGTTCCCTGAGCTCCTCCAGCTCCTACATCACCACTTTCTCAAATTCTCTGCTAGTCTCACAGCTGCTCTGTTGTCCATTTGTTCATTTCTCAAACTTTCCTGAGTGCTTATCATGTGCTGTACTTGCTAGGCTTGGAAGCCAACAGGATAGGATGCTGCTGGGCGTCCTCAAGGCCTGGGCCACAGAGGCACCCACAAACCACTGGTGAACACTCACAAGGACCCTGGCAGAGGTGCAGCCGTGCCTGGTGAAATGGGTTGCCGGCTTGGCTCTCATACTGCCCTAGAGCTCCCAGTCATTGTAGCACACAAGGCAGAGGCAGTCACCTTGTTGGCCTCACTCACTGCCTGTGAGACTCAATCCTCGAGGGCACCCGAGGGAGGGTTTTGCCAGAGCCCAAAGCTCCAGAAGTCAAATACCACCGTCATGGTGCCTATGGGAAGTGCCACACAGCCTCAGGACTTCCCCACTGGGGCTGCTTTGAAAGGAAAGGGCACCCAGGTTCTTCTCCAAGTCCTCAAACCTCCACCTGTGTACTTAGGAACCCTTACCTTCAGTCACTGTGACAAAAGGCAAAATGGCTTTCACCCCTGGGGCCAACCCTGGAGAACCAGATGCAGGGCAGTGCTGTAGGGCGGGCATGGGACTGGGGCTGAGTTGGCAAGGCCCTCACCCGCTCTTGTTCCCACAGGAAATGCGTGAGTGTGTGCCCCTTGGGCTATTTTGGGGACACAGCTGCAAGACGCTGTCGCCGGTGCCACAAAGGGTGTGAGACCTGTTCTGGCAGGAGCCCAACACAGTGTCTGTCCTGTCGCCGTGGGTTCTATCACCACCAGGAGATGAACACCTGTGTGACCCTCTGTCCTGCAGGATTTTATGCTGATGAAAGTGAGTGGCATGTCTGTGGGCACAAGAACTGATGACCCAGCTCCCCCCACCCCACCGGGTGGTGTCTCTTTTACTGGGAGAAATCTCTACTGTCTGTGTCCTATGTACTGTGTTATTCTTAGTAAGGATCTATAATGAGGGAGAAAGGGAGAGATGGTGAAATCAAAGCTCGGAATTGTCAGTTAACAGCATTTCACCCATGGAACTGGCCAGGAGTAGTTCAAAGTGACGATGAAATGAACCCTGGCAATCTAGGGAACTTCACACATCTTCAAATCAAAGTGCACTATTGAGGGTGGGTGAGAGGTAGCTTGGGTCAGTCACTCTCCGGGTCAGTTTGATTGCAGATAGAAGAGGATGTCCTGTTGTCTGTCCTGGAGTTTCTCCTCCAGGAAAGACTGTGCCGTCAGCTTCTCTATAACACAGGACGTGTGCACTGGGTAGGGTCAGGCATGCAGCTCAAGTTTATGGAATTGGTGGTTGAAACTGCCCCTCCACGGAGGAGCAGCTGAGCTGAAATTAGGATTTAAGTGTGGGCAGAAGGTTTGCAGACCTCCAACAACCAAGAGGAGCCTGCTGATCAATGTAAATTGGGCTCTGAGGGACTGCTAGTCTTTCAGGGGCACTTTACAGATAGTGGCCACACCCCTAAGAAGCAGGCAGTGTTGTCCTCATCTTACAGATGGAGAATCGAAGCTAAGAGAGGGCACAGGTGCACATCTAATCATGACAGCCGTGGAACTCAAACTCAGAGAGGCAAAATCAAGTATTCTGCCATCTGCCCATCCTAGGAGGGCAGGCGGATAGCAGACCACTTGCCAGTGTTTCAATAATTCACCTTGCCCTGGGAGAGCCAAAGAGGGAGTTTGGATTAAGTTGATGGGGAACAGTTCTCAACAGTTTAAAGAAGCTGCTGTGTTGACACGCATGGCCTTCCCACACCCCTCCTCTCTGGATCTGTGCTGTGTAGGAAGGGTCATCAATCTGCCCTGTCATGGCATTGCTGTTACCCCTGTAGAGAAGAGCCAGGAAATCCTTAAAGGCTTATAAAGCCATTAAATAACCAGACTCTCTTAGGAGGAGGAACAAAAAGTCGTGCCAAGACACATTTCACAACCTTTGCAAATGCCTACCTCAGACTGCCAACCAGACCTGTCTTTGGGATGGAGGCGCCATCTCTACCCCCATCCTAAGGCCAGGACCAGCCGCCCTCGTTCACCTAACATGTTCTCCCTGAGCACTTGCAGCATGCGTGCAATGCCACCTGTGGGGCCCGAGCCCCCCCCCCATAGGAACACACAGGTGTAGCAAGCAGCCCTTGGCTCCCGGGCCTGTAGCACCTCAACCACTTATTAATGGTGCAAGGTAGTGTTTGATGAAGTGCCAACATGAGCGACCTAGATAATAGCCTGTGCAGATGCAGGTGGGAGTTGGGGTGACCCAGAATTTCCCCAGAAGGCACGATGGTTCGCCGTGGGTGGGTTCCTGTCTCCCTACATAGCTGCCAAGTCTTCAGTGAAGACCCCTGCTAAAGCACTAAGGGGAGCCCATGGCTTCTCGACTTCTCCCCCATACCTGGTCAGGTTTCTAAAGATTTTTACCTGATGAAACTCTACTCAGCCAACCAGGAATTGGCCTTGGTCCCTGTTGAAATCAGCAGAACCAGGGCATGGCTTCTTTGGAAAGGGACTGCCTGAGCCTCTTGGTCATCTGAGGACTTTAATTTACCCCAGAAAAGGGAGGTGAGAGGATCTGTGACCCAACACCATGATGCACAGTCTCTCACGGCCTCTGGCTGCTTTGTTACCACACGATCCGTTCTGGAGAGAGACACAGGGAAGAGCCGGCCTGCCAGCCCTTCTTTGAAATGCTGAGATTTGTTTGCCCAGATTTGATTCCCATCAATGTCATCCCTCCTCTCTTCCCCATCTTGGTGTTTTTCTCCAGGTCAGAAAAACTGCCTTAAATGCCACCCGAGCTGTAAAAAGTGCACAGATGAACCCGAGAAATGTACAGTCTGTAAAGAAGGATTCAGGTAACTCCCCTCCTTGAAACCTGAAGAATGCTATGTATTGATGCTACTTTTGCTTTCTGCTGTTGATTTACCAAGTTTTTGCATCTTTTCCTAAGAGATAAAATTTCAGAGCCCAAAGCCTCGGGATAAGATTCTGAGTCTGTGGACATCACATGTCCAGTTAAAGATGGTTAAGATGGAGAGTGAGAGTATGGGCGGAATCTCTACCTTTACAATATTTGGGGAATCATCTAGAGCAACAGTTGATCTTGTCATGTAAAGTGGGGCTTGTGTTAGAAGGCAAGGCTCTCCCACGGAAGCTCAGGTCTCCTTCCTGTAGGAGCCAGTGGCCACCTCCTCCAGTTTCCCTCCACCAGCCTGGGCCAACGTGGTCTGTAGTGGTCCACCTAGCCTTTCTCCATCCCTCTGTCTTCCTTCTCTTTTTTCCCAGCATCTGGCATTTTCATTGCTCCCTGAGGATGCTCTTTAGATTCCTGGTTCTCCCTGTCCCACCAAGCTCAGCCCTGGAAATCTCAACATACATTTCTTTTAAAAACATTTCACTGGGTTAATGATTGTCATTGGAATATTTTGAAATTTTTTTAGCCCATTTAATGCAACCAAATTGCATTTAATGGAATAAAATATACATTACACCTTCTAGCATAAATTCGACTTTGTATGATATGATCAACTGTTCCTCCAAATTACTATCTAGAAGCTTAGAGAACGTTCTATTTGAAATTTTCCCATAACGAGGGACCAGCCCAGGGGCTACACTGGAAGGAAGGATGGAAGGAAGGGAGGGAGGAAGGGAGGGAATGAGGGGAGAAGGGAGAAAGGGAAGGGGTCAGCAAGGGCAGCTCCTCTCACCTCTGGGGTATACAGGAATCACCACATGTTCAAAGGCAGAGTTTGATACAGCAGGTCTGGGTGGAGCCTGAGACTGCATTTCCAAGCTAGCAGGTGATGAGGCTGCTGGTCCAGGTGGGTCAGGCTTTGCAGAGTGAGGTGCTGAAGGGCTGCAGTCCACCGCCCCCCACCCAAGTCTCCCTTCCTCTGGAATTCACCACAGAGAAGGATTGTTTTAGAGTAATGAACAAAAGAAGAAAACTTCCTGAGCAACTCTGTTCTTAATCCAGATGCTCTCATCAATATCATGTCATTTAATCTTTGCAGCAACCTATGAAATAGACATAATTATTATTCATATCTTACAAACAGGGGAGGTGAACGATTTCCCTCATATTGCTGCCTTTGTGAGTTTTTCTTCAGCTTGGCCCTTAATTTCAGAGCAGGATATTGGAAAGAAGAGGATCTCAAGCACTTGGGAGTCTGGGGAAAGGAAGGGGAAGCTAGACCCCCAAATTCACGTGTCACACCTGCTGTCATTTAAACCTGTTGGCTGGACAAGGCAGGATTAGGAGTGGTAGGATGCAGTGGTCCAGGAAGGAGATTCCCCAAAGGGAAAAGAGCTTGAACAGGAGGGAAGAGACCTTCTGCTGGTGACCTCGTCTCAGACCCTGGGAGAGGCCAGCTTTGATATCCCCAGATCTGTGGGTCAGGCAGCCCAGAGTGCATCCTCAACCCAGACTAGAAAGTGGAGGTGTCAGGGATAGGTGGCTCTGGGGCTCCCACTCCCTGGGGCCTGCTTGCTTCCCAGTGGAGATGTACGGAGATATGCTGGGGGAGTCCCAAGGAAAGAGGGGAAATCAGACACTCGGTTCAGGATGTCATGGGGAGAGGATGCTTCTTGGCAGTAGACACATGGACCGCCGCAGTGGTGCCAGCAACGATGAGTTTTCAGAGACCTGCAAACTCTGAAAACCTTGTTTGCCATAATCCACAGAAGGCTTCCTTTTATTGCCCAATATCCTCTTAAGCTGTGACTTCAAATCATCACTGTCACGTTAAAGAAGCGAAAGAGCAGCTAACCGCCACCTCGGGCCATCTATCTCTTTAGGGAATAAACGCCGGGAGCATTCGCAGGGGAATGTCAGTTATTAAAGACATGATTTAATGGCCATTTGCAGCAGCCCTGGCACCTTGATAAGGAAGAACCCTGAGTGAGTGTCTGTCCCCAATACAGAGGGGCTTGCAGACCTGCAAGCATATTCCCACATACCTCTGGTTGCAAAAATCTAGCACACACAATGCCAAATTGTGTGTAAGTTTTCCATACACTTCAAGCAAGTCTCCATGGACAACAACTGACTGTCCCATAGTACATACATTCTGTATATGTGTATAGCACAATTTGGACACTACCTACATAGCATTGGATCCCTCAAGTTGAGGGCTCAGCCCCACAAGACTGCCCCTGTCCAGATGCCAGTCACAAGTCCCTGGTTGTGACTTGTGTTTCTGACCAACCTGCTATACGTTGGAGTTCCCACGATCCCCTTCTTGGGTTTGGTTAATTTGCTAAGGCCACTCACAGAAAAACACTTGACTTACACTTACCCATTTATTATAAAGGATGACACAAAGGATGCAGGTGAACAGCCAGATGGAGAGATACGAAGGGCAAGGCTTGCAGGAGTCTAGAGCGTGGAAGCTTCTATCCCTGTAGAGCTGGGCTGTGCCACCTTCCCATCGCATGGGATGCACTCTTGTTCTCCGGCCTAGAAGCTCCCAAACCCTGTCTTTGGAGGTTTTATAGAGATTTCATTATGTAGGTATGATTGATTGCATCATTGATCGTTGGTGATCACTTCAGTCTTCAAGCCCTCTCCCCTGCTAGAGAGAGAGGTCAGAGTGATGGGGCTAAAAATTCCAGCCCTCTAATCCTGTGGCTGGTTCCTCTGGCAACCAGCTCCCACCCTTGAGGCTATCCTGGAGCCCCCAGCCATCAGTCATTAGCATTCAGAAAGATGTTTAGCACTTTGGTCATTCCAAGAATTTTAGGAACCATGTGCCAGGTGTAAGACCAAATGTATATTTCTTATTATAAATCACAGCTCCATAGCAGGAGTCTCTGGATATGCCAGATGTGCTCCAGAGAACTAAGTGTCCAATATGTTTGGGGCAAAGCCATCTAAGATATGTGCACCAACACAGTATAATCTCAGGTACTAAAGAAGTAATAGAAACATTTAGCCACGCTGCTATGTGCCAGACACTGAAAGGTTTTCATGTATTGCTCTTTGAGTCCTCCAAACAACTTTATGATGTAGGAACCAATTAACAGGAGAGGAAACGGAGGTGCAGAGAGGTTGGCTGGCTTGCCTGGGGTTTCACAGCTGGGAAGTGGTAGAGGCCAAGTCTCTAGTCTAGTGAGTGGTCTAGCCAAGTGTCGGTATCCCTGTCCAGCACTTGGACAGGCAGGGGTGGAGTGAGCAAGGAAGGCACAAGCCACATCAGACCTGCCAGGCGCAGGAGGGGATTTATTTTAAGTTCATTGTGAAGCTGTGGAAGATTTCAAGCAAGGGAGAGGCAGGAGCAGATTGGGGTTCAGGATCGGGCTTCTGGCTAACAGCCCCCCTCAAATGCTGACACTTCAAGAAGGACTTGACATGGTGACTGAGTCAGTGACACCCACACAGCTCTCCTCTTGGAGTTCAGAGCTTAAGGAACAACAGTAAGAAGAAACTGTCACAGAGCCTGACAGAGCATGAAGCCCACCAGCTTTCAGGAAGAAGCCTGGTATCCATGCCTGATGGGGGAGGCTCTGCTTCCCAGGTTGTGGTAACACTTCCAGCTGGCCTCCAGTGGACTTTAGAATGGCTTTCCCAGCTGTCTGTAGCTGGGAACCTTCAGTGACCCAAAGAACTATGCCTCAACAACTTTCATCCCCTCTCAGGAAAGGCATTTGGAGGGCAGGTCATAATTTAATTGTAGTTTTAGACCAGATGTGGAAACCCGCCCTTTCTCTTCAACAGCCTTGCACGGGGCAACTGCATTCCAGACTGTGAGCCAGGCACCTACTTTGACTCTGAGCTGATCCAGTGTGGGGAATGCCATCACACCTGTGGAACCTGTGTGGGTAAGTTCACCATCTGCAGAGACCTTGGACCGGGGTCACCCAGGTGGATAGGCTAGCTGGAACTGAAAAAGCCCTGGGACTCTGTGGTCTTCTGCATGTATTGCAGCATTAAACACAAAGGAAAAAAAAAACCCACAAAACACAAAGGTCCTACTGGGGTAGGGGGAAGTGGAGTGGGATTTAGTATTTACTAGGTACAGAGTTTCAATTTGTGAAGATAAAAAATGTTCTAGAGATGGGTGGTGGTGATGATTGCACAATAGTGTTTAAAATGTACTTAAAAATGGTTAAGATGGTAAATTTTATGTTACATACAATTTTTAAAATCACAATTTAAAAAATTTTAATCAAAAATCTGAAACAATACAAAGGCCCACTTTGAACAAGCAGCCTGCATATCCCAACATTAGGGACCCAGCCAGGCAGTGGATGCTTCCAGGCAGTGAAAGGGGCAAGGGAGCTTAGCTGTTCATGGGCCATCTTGGAAGCTCAGTGCTGTCTGCAAAATGGCACTGACAGAAACGCAGCACCATCAAGATTCAGAGGATGCCAAGAGAGGTGGGCATGGGTCCAAGTGGGATGGGGATGTTTTAAAATGTAGCCTTAGTTCTTTGGACCTATCTTCACTTACTTTGAACATTTTGTTCAAAGAGGAAAAGACTTCTATAAACAATTCTTTGTGTATTATAATTCCCCACCAAGATGATAGCACAGATGTCTCCCAGGTACAATTTTTATGCAGAATAGTAGAGAATTCATTTTGCACAAGTAAGTTGAATAACACCACAAGTTTGTGGGCTCACATATGAGGTCTGACAGTTAAGTTTGCAAACTCGTCTAGGGAAAGTGCTACATACCTCATTGGTGAATATCTCTCAGTCACCTTCGAATTACTCCCCTTGGGAAGCTATGCACTGATACCAGTGACTAGTTCACCCATCAAAGCAGTTTTGAAACTCTTTTTCTGGAATGGCCATCAGATCCATTGTATTATTACCCTTAATGTCCTGAATATCATCAAATGTCTTCCTTTCAATATTTTCTTTACCTTCAGGTTAAAAAAAAAAAAAAAAAGTCATTAGGGGCCAGATCAGGTGCATAGGGAGGGTGTTTCAATAGTCATGTGCACAGTGCTGCCAAAGTAAGCGCACGGTGGCAAGTTCGTGAACTTAATTATCAAATGTCAATAATGACGACAGCTCTGATGTCCATTCCAGAAAAGGAGTTCCAAAATTGCTTTGACAGGTGGACTAGGTGCTAGTGTTGGAGCTTAGCTTCCCAAGGGGAGTACTTTGAAGGTGACTGTAGTGATATATTCAACAATGAGATATGTGGTACTTTTTCCAGGATGATTCACAAACCTAATTGCTAATGTCTGGGTTACGTTTTCTCCTCTTGATCTTCCTTCGGACCCCAGCACTTTGGTCCATTCAAAAAAACACACATTGGATTGCGATTTTGCTGCAGTAATACTTTAAGAATTGGATCTCACCGGGCACAGTGGCTCATGCCTGTAATTCCAGCATTTTGGGAGCTGAAGACGAGAGGATCGCATGAACTCACAGGCTCAACACCAGCCTGGGCAACTTGGCAAGATCTTGTCTCTACAATAAGTCCAAAATTTAACCAGGCATGGTGACACACACCTGTAGTTCCAGCTACTTGGAAGGGTGAGGCAGAAGGATCACCTGAGTCCAGCAGTTTGAGGCTGCAGTGGCTGTGAGTGCCACTATGCTACTGTACACTCCAGCCTGGGTGACAGAGTGAGACTCCGACTCAAAAAAAAAAAAAAAAAAAGAATTAGATCTCTGCTCAGTCACAGTTGTCATGATAGTATTGTTCATTGGAAATGTCCCAAGATGGGCACAGCCTTCCCAGGATGGCTGTGTAAGCCCCATGTAGCTGTCTGCTCTGCTGTCCTGTAGTGGACATGCTAAGAAACCAAGGCTGTGACTAAGGCCAGCACCCTCGCATGACCCAGCCACCTGTGGGAGACGTGCCCTCTTCCATACCCTCCTTCCATACCCTCTTCCATACCCTCCTTCCATACCCTCTTCCATACCTTCTTCCATACCTTCCAAAGGCACCAGGGCTCAGCATTGGGAAGGGCTCCACCCACGGGCAGTTCAGCAATCTTTCCTTGTAATTTGCCCTGGTGCTTTTTGGTCTGTCATTGTTATTCTTAGCCTTTTTGACCTGTTGTTTAGCCTGGTTGATTAAGAAGCATCACTGATGTTGCTTATTTAAATCTCATGGTCACTTGAATCCATAATGCTCAGGCATGTGATTTTATAACTCTTTTGATTTCAATAATTCAATTTTCTTTCTCCGAATCCCCAGACTGCCTGATGACAAAAAGGTTTATAGAGTCACTTAGAGGTTTTCTCATCTCAATCCAGTGACTTCTCTATCACTCCAGGTATTAAATTCATCAGTGGGAAGAGCTAAAGCTCTGGTTAGGGGGGGTCTCCCCTCCTCCCTATGCCCTCTGGCCTAGGTTTTTTCTCAGCTCCTGGGATCATCTCCCTCAACTTCCAGGTAGCCACTGGAGAGAGAAACCCCACTCCCCCACTCCAAGTCACCTGGAGGCTTCTTGTTCCATGTCGTGTATGAACCTCGCTCCCTGCACCCTGGAGGCCCACCCGACTTTTCCCTCTCTGCTCTGGCTTAGTGACCTCTGCTGCCCTCACTGAGTCTCACCACTCTCACAGGAATCTGGGCATGGTCACGGGGAGGGTCAGGGTCAGACATCAGTACCTAGTGGCATCTCAAAGTAGGGCATGGTGGCATGTGTTCCCACCCTGGACCCACCATGGTGGGTTACTCAGTGGGGATGAGCCTCGTCCTTCTGAGTCCAGGTGTCCTGGGAGTCCTGGCATAGAGGTGGTGATCCTTGGGGGTTGCCTGTCCACTACGCGTTGATGCAGTACACCAACCCATGGACTCAACCTGCCCACATGGGACATGGCACACTGGCCAACAGCTGGCAGCCAATAGAGCACTTGGGCACACATGCCAAGTCGAGGGGCAATGCCCCAGACACCCATGAAGGGCAGCCCTTGCCCATGAGCACTGAGAAAGCATGACTTATAATCGCAAATAAAAAACTCTGCAATGGACTGAGAGATTGCAAGAGACAAGAGAATGTTTTCTAACTTAATATCTGTCATGGCACGTTTTTCCTGTTTCCTGAATGAGAACTGCACACTTACACTTTTTACTGGGCCCCAGGAATGATGTAGCATAACCCATTTTGCTATTATCATTATGACTGCAGGTGCTTTTAAAGTGTTCAAAGTCGATAAAGACTTGTGACTTAATGAAATCCTTGAAAGACTGTCACTGGGTTATGAAATTCATAATTTTTAGTAGTTGTGAAAACAGTTTTAGAAAATGTGTGTTTAATCAACATTTTTGTGGTGGTAAAATGCACATAACATAAAATTTGCCATCTTGACCAATTTGAGGTATAGAGTTTGGAGGCATTAAATTCATTCACAGTGTTATGCAACCATTACTACCATCCACCTCCACAACGTTTCCATCTTCCCCAAATGAATGTGTTTAATCAACTTTTCAGTTTAATAAGTTGAGTGTTAAACTAGGTACAAACAAGAATGAGTGTTCTTTCCCACCCCAGAGCTGCCCGGGGTATTAAGAATACTAGTGTTGGAGGAAGGACAGTAGAGTGACAGGGTTCAGCAGGTAGGTACAAGGAGAGGGACAGTAGTGGCCACCGCACAGCTCCTGAGACCCCATGCAGAATAGCGCCTACCCTGTATATTCGACCCACCATAGACCCCTGGAGACTAACGATGGGGAGGGGCGGATTGGCCACAGCACTAGAACAACCTCCTACCTAGAATGACATAAACCAGACAGAATCCCTGCTGTGTATGGGGCAGCTCTTCCACTGCATTGCAGGAAAAGAGGGCGGGCACCCCATGTGGAGACTCTGGTCCTTCAGCGGTCCCATCACCTCAAAGGGCCCTGCTTCTGCCTCCCACTCAGAATCCTTCGTGGCTTCACTCTTTCCTGACTGTCAGTGGAGGAACTCAGCCTGGACACATTCAGAACTCCCTCCCAAGCTTGAGGCTGTGCTTCTGAGATATGGAGCCTGAGCCTTGTGCCTGGCCCCCTATGGCTCTGGAACCTCTGCAGAGGGGTCTTCCCTTGACAGAGCAAGGGAGTCTCCTCTGGGTCCAGAGTTACCAGGAAAAAGAGGTATCACTGCATTTGCTGGCAGCCCTCAATCTAAGACCACAGTCAAATTAAAGAGGGGGGACAAGGTTAAATCAGGCACTGTGACTGTCACAGACTATCTGAGATGATTTCCTCCCACATTTAACCCTCCAAGTTGTCACCTAGTGTCTACCTCACTACCTGTCCCCAATGTCCCTCAGAGGCTCTCTGGGGACAGGTGGTCCAGAGAAGGCTCTTGGTCTAGCCACTCTGACATCTGGCCCAGGCCAGCAAGTCCTCCTCCAACTCTGGGCTGAGCTGGAGGTTCAGAGCTCCATATCCCCCACCCAGAGCTTCTGTCTCCTCGGGCTGCTCCTCCTGCCCCATAGGCCTTTCCTGTTTGCTCTCTGTTATTGAAAATGCCCTGGTTGTCCACACCAAACCCCTGTTCACACTACTCCTAAAACCTCTCCTTCCATTCTCCTCATGTCTTCCACAGTGTTCTGTCCAATAGATATCCACTGCTGTAGCCATGAGTGCTATTTTAAGTTGCCTAGTAACCATGTCTTAAAGAGTAAAAAGAACCAGGCGAATTTTAGCAACATATCTTATTTAACCAATGTATCTAAAATATTACCATTTCAAATTATTCCATATGAAAAATTAATAAGATGTTTTACATTAATGTGAAGGCTTTGGAATCCAGTGTGTATGAAGGCTATACACACAGCACATCTCAGTGTAGCCCCACCACAGTTCAAGGGCTCAAAGCTACAAGTGGCCTGTAGAAGTGGGGAGGTGTGCTCCCCTCTGAGATGGGATTATACCTCAATGTCCCCATCTGTGAAATGGGGATGATGGGACCCACCTTCTAGGAGTGGGTGAGGATGGTCCAGCCCCCAGCAGACACCTGGAAGATGCCAATTGTGGCAGTTGCCTGGGGGCCTCTGAATGGTACCCTGTAACTCACAGCGCCCTGCAGCAGGTGTGGGACGTGGTCATCCATGGGCTGTTCCTTATGTCTTCTTTTCCTGTACTCCCCAGGGCCAGGCAGAGAAGAATGCATTCACTGTGCAAAAAACTTCCACTTCCAAGACTGGAAGTGTGTGCCAGCTTGTGGTGAAGGATTCTACCCAGAGGAGATGCCCGGCTTGCCCCATAAAGTGTGTCGAAGGTACGATCTTCTAAGTGTGGAATGGTAGCCAGCTGCATCCTGTGACTTCCAGGTGAAGGGCCAGGGGAGGGGTGTGCTACATCACCCCATGGCAGACAGCACCCTGTTTACAGAACTGGCTGGGACCTTTGTGCCTTTGTTCATGTAATGCATATTTGTTGAGTCTCTACTGTGGACCAGGCACCACATAGTGGACAGGAAGCAGAGTAATTAAGTACCACCCCCCATGGCAGACTCCACAGAAAGCCTCCACCCATGCCCACATTCAGCATGTATCCTTCACACTGTAGGTAATCAGGGATACCATCCATGTTTTGGGTTAAAACATTTTTTAAATTATATTCTTCAGAGAAAATGAAAAGATCCTGATAATCTCCCCATTCTAAGCCCCTTTGATGTGCATTCAGTGCACACATGCTTTAACCCTTCTCATCCTTCCTTCCCATTTCCTCCCACGCATCCACACAGTCCACCAGTCTCATTTGGTCCCTGTAGTGTTCTCTTTTGTTATTGGACACAGGCCATTAAAGGAGAAGCCGTTGCTTCGGTCCCATCCTGTCTTGCTGAATATTGCCCTATGTCAGAGCTTTGTAAGTCCAGAACCCAGCAATGGGGCAAGGCACATGTTTAGGGTGATGGCAACAGTGAGGACTTTCAAGAGGACTGTGATGATGTGATGGTGGGTGTGGGCTGTGAATGACATGGGAGGGACTTCCATCTGAAACAGACTCAAAATAAGGGAGTCCTCAGAGGAGGCTTGGGGGAGGATTTCCATCTGAAATAGACACAAAACAAGGGAGTCCTCAGGGGAGGCTTATGTCAGAACAGGGGAAGGGCCCACTCCTGGCTCCTAGCTCCCAGTGGGAAACTGTCAGCACTGGTATATTCACCCCACAGCGGGGTCTGCCTCCAGGTTGTGTGGGAGAACCATTGTGGGTTGTAATCTGTTCTCTTAAAAACAAACAGAAGGCTGGATGGCATAGTGGCTGATACCTATAATCCTAGCACATTGGAAGACCCAGCTGAGAGGATTGCTTAAGCCCAGGAGTTAGAGACCAGCCTGGACAACATAGTGAGACCTTTTCTCTACAAAAAATTTAAAAATTAGCCAGGTGTAGTGGCACGTGCCTATAGTTCCAGCTACTTGGGAGGCTGAGGTGGGAGGATCACTTGAGCCCAGGAGGTCAAGGCTGCAGTGAGCTATGATCACACCACTGCACTCAAGCTTGGGAGACAGAGTGAGACTCCAGTTCAAAAACAAAACAAAACAAAAGCACAAAACCTTATATGAGCCAATTAGAGACCACTAAATCCTTGCACTTGTGTTACCTACAAAAGAGTGGTCCGGTGGTGGTTACATATCTCTGCAAGGCTCAGCCCCTTCTACTGAGTTGGTTTGAAATAGAAAACTTGCCACCTGCTTACAGGGTACAGCCTTGCTGAGTCCTGCTAGGGACCCCGGGCACCATTGTCTAAAGTTAAACCCTTCATTTTAGCTAGCCAGCTGGTTCTCGGATAATTAAATGCGGCAGCCCAGGGAGAACTTGGAATTAAACAGTGATAATCACTTCCATTTGTCAAACAGCCTGGATGTCAGGGGATGCTGAATATACCCACAACTGTACACCTGGACCCCGCAGGCGCCCAGAGGCTTTGTTGTTCCCTGGCCCAGGAGGCAGTAGGCAGGCAACTTCCACAAACCTCTTCCTGGACACCAGGGGACAGGAGTTTCCTGAAGGAAGCTTTCAGCCCTGGATGGGTATCCAGTGCTGGGGCTGACTTGGAGAAGCCCCCTCAGGAGGAGCGTCAGGGTGGATTCCTCCCAAAGGAAGCAAGGCCTTGGTATGCTTGGTCCTGCAGGGTCTCTCCCAACTCCAGCAGCATCAGCTTTTAGAGAGCCACAGACACCCCCCAGAACTGAGAATGAGGATTGGCATGATGGCCTTCCTCTGATGTGCCTGCAGAAGCATGTGGCCAGACAGGGGCTAGAAAACCAGGCCAGGATGCAGGCCTGCTGCTGGGTTGGCAACCATAGGTTGAAGTTGAGACCCGAGGCTGAGAACAATCTGTGAATCTCCAAAGAGTGCCGGACACCCTCAAGACTTAGTGAGAGGACCTAGCAAGAGCTAGCAAGGATGACTTGGAAGAAAAGGAGTACTGCCTGTGGAGTACTGCCTGAGGAGCAGACTAGCTTCTCACCCCCAGCCGCCCCTCCCTTTATGATCAGTGGGGACAGGCTCTCAGGAACATGCCTTTGCCTAATTCTGAGCCCATACAGAGGCGTGAGGAGACCTCTGGAGGCAACTGGCCTGTGTCCCTGGTACTTGTGCTTTAGGAAGCCTAAAGGCAGACAGCTCGTGGGAGTGACCCTGCAAGGGAGCAGGAACCACAGGCTGTACTGGGCCTGCCTGCACATCCAGAATTCGACAGGGACAATTTTCATGGTGTTTAGGGGTGAAGTGAGTACCAGGTACCTTAGAAGGCAGCAGAACCAGCAGCATCTTGAAAGCCACCCTGCCCAAAGGTAGTCCTGCCCAAGAGGACCAACTGCCGGGCACAGTAATCCTGACAGAAAGAAGAGGAGCCACAAGGTAAATGGGGCAGGAGGCATACCCTTCTCCCAGAGCAGCATGATACTGGAAGAATCCCCCCCGCCAAAACCTCCAGATGAGATCCCAGGCTGGCACCACCTTGCCCTGGGCCTTGTGGGACCCTGAGTGGAGAACTGGACTTCTGTCCACTTAATTGGGAGCTACGAAGTGGGTATTGTTCTAAGAGGTGTCATTTGTGATATTGTTAGGCAGCAGTAGGACACCCAGGCACCTGCAACTCCACCACAGAGCTTGGTGAGGCTGCATTTGAAGAAGAAATAAGAGCATCCTGCTAGCTCTATGGCCCACTCCTCACTGTAGTTGTTTGTAGATGAAGCAACCCACAGCCAAAGCCTGGGGGCGCCTAGGTCCTTGGGTCTTTCAGACCACTAGCATCCTCTAAATGACTCAGCTCAGTACTGGCTCCCCTCTTGCCAGCAGACATCATCTGTAAGAGAAGCTGGAGGGTCCCCAGGGGAAAACTGTCCCCTGTGCTGTGGCATCAGGATTATGTGTCTGGGCCACCAGAAAGGGCAGACTCGGGTGTCAGGGAGCAGCATGATAGGAGCCAGACCCTGGGGTTTCCCAAAAGTGCACAAGATGCAGGGTCCTATAAGGACAACCCTGACAAGTCATCTGGTCCTATCTTCCCCTGCAGGGCATCCTGGGTAGAAGAGATGAGAGGAGCACAGGCTCTTGTTGCAGGAGGCAGAAGTTAGAAAGGCTCCTGGATACAGGTTTACCTGTGGGATGTCCACATTTACAGATATAGACTGAGGGCCTGATCCCTAGTTTGGTCATCCTCAGATGCATTAGGCATAAAAACCTACCTCTCATGCAGACTGAAGGGCTGCTGCACCAGGGGCTACGTGGAGATAGAATCAGCGGTGTACCAGATCCCACTGGAGGGCTGCTTTGGAAAGAGGCCTAAGGGAGGCCTCACATAGAGTGGGGAGGGAGGGGCATTTACTGGGGGACCCCAAAAACCTGGAATTTATTTATTTAAAAATTGTGTATTTATTCTTTTTTTTTTTTTTTTTTTTTT